CATGCCCCAACCTCTGCTATTCAAGGAAAGGCCTGTTAGATTTGTTCCAGCCCTTCCAGTATATGTAAAAAGACAAGCTGGTTCACCTGTCCTTCCTCTCTTCCATGGCCCATGGGTATAGCACTCTCCTAGAGAATTTAATGTCCGTTTTTTCATTCCTTTTTCCTTTTCCTGAAAGTCTCCTGTTTCTCTTTTCACCTTCCCACTATGTTCTTCGCTTGCATCATTCTGTTGTTCTACACCCTGAATGTGACTGGAAAAGCTCTCCCTCAAATTAGACTGTAAAACCAGACAGGCATGTTTCACTCTCTAGCTATCATCCACTATCATCAGGCAGTTTATATGATTTTTTTTCCAGCAGCGAGGACATTTTAAATGAATCCATTTTGGATGTATGCTTAAATACTTATAAGGCTTATATATAAGGTGTATAACTATACTGGCATTTTAATACAGTGTGCATTTGGGGTTTAATTCCTTGAGTGTTCTTTTTGTAAGGATTTCTTGGCTAACAGAATTTAACAGATCTTGCACTCAGAGTATATAGTGGCTAACTTCCTGAAGGCTATCAAAGTACTTCAGCCTAATGCATCAGATTTACATACCCACTACTGACATGCAACCTCTAGGGTGAAATAGAACAGCTGTTAACAGGGTTGTTTTTTTTTTCTCCTGAAGATCTCATTAAGATGAATACAGGTTATACAACGGAGTTATGTGGGAGGAGAGAGCTTTCCATTGTGGCCTAAAGCAAGCATTGCCTTGCATTGTATTGTTGCAGTTTAAGCCAGTCAGCTCTATTGGTGAAATTGGATTAAGGAAGGGATAAACATTCAATCTGTAAATTGAATGGAGCAATTTTCAACTATATATATATTGTGGAACACTAGAAGGAAGTTATCACTATAGTATTTTAAGTCCTAGTTGGACTCAGAATTAGGCAGTTTTAAAAGTGTTCTCTGTATGTATTGAAAACCATCAGTTCAAAATATACTTCCACTGCAGAAACATGTTACCTCTCTTTTCAATGTCTGTTCTTTTCAGCAAATTCTTTATCTAAACTGAGGATCAGGCAAATGCTAAGAGCCAGATCCTACTTTAGCTAGTAGGTACCTAACTGGATTTAGGCGCTTCAGTTCAATCGTATTTTACCCTGTCTGAGTCCTTGAAAAACTTAATGCCTCCCCCTCCTTGCTGTTTTTTGTGACTTTGTTTAAAGGCAAAGGTGATGATGTGTTAGAGAAACAGATGCATTAGTGGATTTTAGAGCTTTGCACAGGGTGGAATAGGACTTTACTTGAGCACTTAACAGGTAGAGTAGGATCTGGCCCCAAGTTAGTAATTGATAGAACAGTAGAAATGTGACTTCTAACATTTTGCTGTATTAACATGAAAACACATCAGTTATAAAGTGCAAGGAAATATGGAACATTCCTTCTCTTCTTTTTTCTGCATAGACTATTGCACAGTGGCGGAAAGCCGGCTACCAAGACATGCCCGAATATGAAAACTTCAAGCATTTGCTGCAAGCCCCTCTGGATGATGCCCAGGAAATCTTGCAGACTCGGTTCCCAATGCCACGTTATATTAACACAGAGCATGGAGGCAGTCAGGTAAGGCAGAAATTGTCAGTGAGTGATTGGTATGCTTGAATAAAGGAAATTCCAGAGTCATGGCCTAGAGCTGCTTTTTTAATAGAAAGGCTGCATTGCAAAATGGCTACCATCTTTTCCCTCAGCCACTAAGCTGCGAGTGGCTGTGAAAAGCTTAACACTGGGCAGTGCTTTTCCTGCTTGCTCACTAAGAAAGAAGCTGACAGTCATTTTTCAACACAGCGTCTTCATACTAGTCTGGAAAAGAAAATTGGCTTCTGTGCTTAAGACATGCACCTCAATTTTGGAGAGCTTATTTTTGGGGAAAAAGGTGCATGTGGTTTGTGGGTAAATGATTTGATTATGTATCAAGACATTGTCTTTCAGTACTCAGCCTGAGTCAAAATGGCCCTTCATTTTCTTACCTGCAGCTCTTTGCAGAAAATGTTTTTTTCTGCTGCAAGCATTTTATATATGTTAGGAAACACTATGCGACTCACCAGTCATATTTTCCCATTGGACTGCTTAGATATTAACCAATGAGTTGGAGTGTGTATAGGAAGCTGTCACTCTTTGATAAACATTGACTGTTCATGTGGTTCCTGAACCAGTCAAGACTGTGTCACTGTAGCTCTTCTTTTTGACTTTGTCTTTTCTCCTCTGAGAGAGGTGACAAATAATTGCTCTCTTTCAAGTTACTAGACAGGTCCTAGTTAGTCCCATTTTAGTTAGGTATTCATTGTATAATATCTGCAACTGACTCATTTGTTGCTGGAATAGGAAAATAGTAGTCACTATCCAGGGTCCAAATCAGTGATATGGTGCTGAATGTCCTGGTGCGGATATTCCTGGTTGTGAGTCTCCAGAGCATTCTTCTCGGCACCTAGTGCAGTGCTTCTCACTTGGAGTGCTTTGATGCAGGGGCTGCCATCTCAGTGGCAGCCAGGTAAAACTATCCCCCGCACACTCCTGCTCCATTAGGGCTCTTTTATTAGCCTTTTGCAGGCCGGAGCTGGCTTGGCTGTAACTCTTCCCAGTCCAGCCCCTCCTACGCTCCTTCTTGCAGAAACAGAAGCGAGTAGGATGGTTGTCCTGTAAACCTGTTTTCATGAGAAGCATAGGGGGCACCAGACCAGAAAGAGCTACACCATGAGGCAGCTGCTGCTGTTTTAAGCTGATTAGAAAGCCCTAATGCAGGAGGAGCATGTGTATGTAACAGCCCTTCCCAGTTTGGATTTGCAGCAGGTATGCGGGGAAGTTTTATCTGGAGACAGCAGCACCTGGTTGAGAAGCACTGAAATAAATTGAAGTTCTCAGCCAGTGGTGTCACCACATTCAGAAGTGGTGGAGAGGTGCCATGACTCTGAAAAGGTTGAAAACCACTGGCCTAGTGGGAACATCAAAGTGAAAACACTGTGGTACTGAAGATCTCAGCCACCATTGCTTGGTGCAGCAGAGGGATGCTCACCCTCAAAGAAACCTTTTTGGTTTTTGTTTTGAAATGGATGTCATGTTGTCACATTGTCATGCTGAACTGACCCAGATAAGAAGCAGGGGAGGGAATGAGCCCAGGAGATGGAACTCCTTACCAGAAGGATGGGCTTGTGGCCTGCCTTCCACAGCAGTGCTAAGCATATCTGCCACTAGAATGCAGAAGATTGCCTCTTTTAAAGGAACTGAAAACTTGAATATATTAGCAGAGCAGGTTCCTTTGTCCCTTGTGGGTCATAGTAGTTTAGAGGTCTGTTCATTATTCTACAGGATGTGCTAGCATTCAAAATAGGAAGTCTCTTGCCTACTCTTGTTGCATTTTGAGTCATGTAATACATATGCTGTGGGTGTCTGGGAATAAAGAGTTTATTTTAGCTTTATCCACCTCTCATTCTCTTCTCTCTCTGTAACAGCTGAATAATAGCCACGTCAGATAGCAGCAAATGTTGATAACCAAAAAAATTCAGTCAAATTTAGCTATTGCAGCGATCAGGAGAAGAAAATCATTGCATTGTATGGCTGCTCTGGTGATACCCATAAACAGGAATTGGATTGGAACATTAATAACCAAGTTAAGTTAGAAAATCCTCTTTAGAAAAGTGGAACAATGCAGGAACTAATCAGACTATCTATGATGTTGGATCCTGAGGCAGCTAACTGATCTTTATTTTTAAAATTACTTTTGTAACATCTTGTTTTTCTCATAGGCTCGGTTCCTGTTATCAAAAGTGAACCCCTCACAGACGCACAATAACCTCTATGCCTGGGGACAGGTAAGTCGTGGAGACCTATTTGTGTTTGAGGAAGAAACGAAACATATACATTCTCCTCTCCCATTCTGTTTCCTTTCTATTTACATGGTGTTAGGGTGATGAGCAATAGCTTGCTTTATTCCCGTGGGATGTGTTACATCCATCCTTCTGCCCTCTGGCTAGCAGCTTTCACAAATGTTCATTTTTTGAAGCCTAAAAATCTGTAATGCTTTGTGGTGGGAGAAACAAAAGTTGTTTCCCTGTCACAGTGGAGCTGACAATAACATTGCTGGTTGGTGGCTGCAGTAGTCGTATTTTGAAGCGAAAAACGTGCAGCTACCAAAGAGCTAGACTTTTCTTTAGCACCTCAGTGCGTACATCATTTTGTTCCTTTATGGTCACCATCAATTAATTACAATGGAACAGCTAAATTATATTGGCAGGGAACAACTAAATAAAAGCAATTGGGATACTCAGGAGATTTTCAAAACTGGGTTTCTGAAGTGAAGCTCCTACGTTATTTAAGCTTGTTAATAAAAGCAGTCTGATTGTTAGCAGTGCAGAGCACCCACAGCTCCTATTGACATGAATGCAAGCTGAAAGCCCTCAGCAGCTCTGAGAAACAGGCTTTTAAGACTTAGGATATATCATGAAAGTTCCAGGCAGTCAGCTACAAAAACTTTTGTCCACCATTTTTCTAGATTGCAGCTGGCATATTTTGGTACTATAAACTAAAAATAATAGTAAAATCTCCAGGTGCAATTATAACTTACGTGAGAATATGGCATACTATGTCCAGTTCTGGGTGCCACACTTTAACAAGGATGTGGTAAAGCTTGAGAGAGTCCAGAGAAGAGCCACCTGTATGATCAGAGACTTGGAGAGGAAGTCATATGAGGAAAGGCTGAGGGATCTGGGACTCTTCAGCCTGAAAAAAGAAGGCTGAGAGGGGACTTGGTAGCAGCTTACTGCTAAATCAAGCAATACATCAAGGGCTCAGTGAACAATTGTTCACCAGGGCACCCTTGGGGAAAACTAGGGGTAATGGTTACAAACTCCTGGACGACTGTTTTAGGCTCAACATAAGGAAAAAACTACTTCACAATTACGGTGCCCAGACTGTGGAATAAGCTCTCTCCAGAGGTGATGCAATGACCTACCCTGGAAATCTTCAAGGGGAGACTGGATGGTCACCTGAACCCAATTGTCTTTCCTCCTTGGTGCAGGGGCTGGACCTGATGATCTGCCGAGGTCCCTTTCAGCCTTATAATCTATGAATGGTTGCTTGATTTTTGGGGGTCTTATTCTGTCCTTCCTTTTTTATTTTTTTGTTACATCTTTGGGGCAGGGATACAAATTATGTTTCATAAATAATAAAATCTCTTTCAATACTATAGATTTACTTGCGAGTCCAGAATAAATGGAGTTTTGTTGTTACTATTGTTGTTGTGTGGCTTCACACACACACACGCACACACTCTCTCTCTCTGGCTGGAATTTGTGTGGCTACACATGCTCTCTCTCTCTCTCTCTCTCTCTCTCTCTCTCTCTCTCTGGCTAGAATATGCATATGGTTGATTAGCATTGGGCACAGAAACCTAATTTTCTTTCAGAATGACCCTTGTTCTACCCCTATTCGTTTTTTTTCTCATCACACATTTATTTCTATTATTGCAGGAATCGGGGTCTCCAATCCTAACGGATGATGTTAGTCTCCAGGTATTCATGGACCATCTGAAAAAACTGGCAGTGTCAAGTGCAGCATGACCTGGATCATAACAAGGACATAAAAAGGAAAGAATTAATGGGATCATACTGATAATTCAATAGATGTGGGAAAATGTATTACCTGTATTTTCTCACATATGACACATGATTTTCTCTAAATGTAGCCCCCCATAATTGGGGTGCATATATTAAGCAGGGAAGCTGTTTTTCTGCCTGGGATAGAAGCACCCTACTTTAAATCCTGCTCCACAGTGCAGCAGCATGACTATTCAGGCAGCTGAAGAATTCATTTGATTTAATGGTCCATTGTTTTTTGCTCCACAGGTGTTAACAGTTGTCTCCTTTTTTAATGGTCTTTATGGTCTTGCTAAGAAAAGTCAAACTGACCTTTCTTAGGGCAATTTTATAGTCTACTAGCTGATCCCATTAGCCCAAGGAGGAAAAAAAGGGTAAGTCACCTGAAGACTGGGTTCTTCCCCTGGGCTATGCAGTCATAACTGGAAAAATCCATTTTTCTTCATTCTGCCTTTCAAAAACAGGGTACATATTATATTTTGGGCCATGTTGTATGTAAGCAAATACAGTACGTTACTTTTCCTCTTCGTAGGCCACAGCTTTCAAATATTTAATGAAACAAATACTGGAGGGGAGTTTTGTACTGAATCCTTTTAGATGTTAATTTATTTGTATTCCATTTGTCTGTGTTCTTTCTGATTTACATTTTTCATACATTGTAACTTCAACTCCAGGATGTTTTAGCTTATAGAAATCTTAATACAGCCTTTCACTTAATTGTAACAAAATGTATTAAAACTATTCTCTTTTAGCAACTCTTTTGGATAAAGGAAACTATATTGATGAAAAATAAAATTAGTTAAGGCAAGCATTAATATTTAGTGCTATACCGAACCTGACTCTCAGAGGGAATTAAATCAGTCTTCTAGTTCTTCCAGTAAATTTTCAAAAGTAAACCAGAGTTGTGCATTCAAGTTATTGAAAAGAGAGAGAATTTCAGTTCCTATTGCCCAAGCAATTTCATTAGTGATTCTGGATCTCTAAGCACTGAGAATCACAGAATGCTTTCCAACAGAGAAGGTGGGTGCAAAAATGCCTGCCAGGAAGAGCACACACCAACTGCTGCAGCTTCCTGAGCCTGACAAAGGGTTTTTGAACCCGAAAGCTTGCTTAATAACTATTCTCCAACCATTTGGGGTTGGTCTAATAAAAGATATCAAATTCACCCAAGGAACCTTGTCTATCATTTTGGTATGCATTTGGGGGAGAAGAGATGTGCATGCTTGTGGGAACACACCCAGCGTGTGCATGTGTTTCCCTGGGGACAAATAGAAGTGTCATATATTGTGCCATCGCTACTTTTCCTCAGGCATGCCCCTGTATGCGCGCTGTGGTGAGCTGCAAATTGCACTAAGTGGGGCAGGGGAAGCTGGAGCCAGCATCTGCGTTGGCCCCAGCAGCCTTGCCTGGGGTCCCCTTGCGGCTGCAGCAGCAGTGATCCAGGTGCACAGAGCCTGGCTGGTAGCTGGAGTGTGGCTCTGGCTGGCCAGGCTCTAGTTTTGTGGGGTGTATGCTGCAGCCACATGCTCCCCACCCCTTGTTTTTAGATACTGGGACTTCCTGGTATTCGATTTCGCCCTTCTGCTGCAAACATGGATTTGCAGCGCCTCAGGAGGCTTTGAGGTGCTGCAAACTGCACGTTCCTGTTCCTGGGGATGCAGTCATTACAGGTTTCAAGTTAAATTTGGCCCTAGTGTGGAGAATTTACTCTCCACCACATCAAAATTGCACATGATCTACCTTCCTTCTTTGCTTGAGATCTAAAGATGACTCATTACTTCATCATACAAAAAGACTCACACCTGCTACTCTCAACTACTAAAGTCATGTTGATTCAAAGCATAGGGGCTGTCTAAATTGCTTTTAACTTCAGCCCGGATTTTCATCTAAATAGATTTGTGTACACATCTTCTCTTACAGTTAGGCTCACACACTGTATTGTAGCGGAGACCAACCTTTTTGCCAAGTGTGTCATAAATTAGTTCCACATCCTTCCTGAGAGTCGCTCAAATCCCTTTCTCCTGCCTGACTGGCTGCCTTACTTTCTGCTTTCTGCCTGATCTGCTGCTCTGTTGTTCTGTTCCCTGCCCCATCTGCCACTTTGCTGCCTGTCCCCTCCCTAGTCTACCACACACATGGGTTGATCTGCTTTACTGCATGTAAGCCTTCTGTTAGAGAGCAAAAATTCTTGTTCATGATACAATAAAAAGTCCTTAGACTTATAACTGTATCAATGCTGTCTGTGGTTTTGGAGCTCCACTCCTCAAAATAGTTGAAGTGAGGCAAGAATGTTCCTATAACCAAATTTTAAACCTTAGTTGTAGTAAATATAAAAATGCTCTGTACAACTAGCTCCTGGTATATAACATCTCATTTTAACTCGAGTCACCCTCTTGCAATGCAGTCTGAAGAATGACTATAAGAGCAGCATGTACGCCCAGGCTTTTTTTTAAGATTACATGGTTAATCTTCTGAGTAAAAACATCATTTTCCCCCGTTCTTGCAGTCACCATGAACCTTTGCAGTTGAACTGGGCTCTATTCATTTTTCTCGAGTGCTACTGACGTGAGTCTGCAGGCCAAAATAAGCTCTCAGCTATAGCACTAACCCAGTTGCCATCACTACTACCCTGTTATCTATAGTAGGAGTTCTCAACCTTTTTTTTCCCCCAAGGCCCCTCTGTGGAGCTGCCATTGCTCCCTGCACAGGAGAGAAATGGCCTGGCTCCCCAGCCCTGCCTGCATGGCCCTGGATGCAGCAGGCAGGGCTTGGCAGTGAAATATCCTGGGACCCCACTCACCCGAGCAGTAGCAGCATAGAGCTTTGCTTACCTGCAGTGTCACCCACAAGATGGAGGGTGTGGGGTGGGCCTCCTCCTCAGGGCTTGCCTTAGTCCCAGGGGGGCCAAAGTGGCTCCTCCCCATGCCAGGCTGGGTAAGCTCCCCAGAAGCCTGCTTGTGGCCCCCAGGGGGGCTGCAAACCCTTGGTTGAGAACCACTGACCTACAGTATACCTAGACAACTTTATTTACATTTTAAATAAAGGGTAGGGGTGGGTGTTTTTCTTTCCACATGAACCTGCATATTTATCTTTATGCAGAGTGCTTTACAATGTGGCCTGTTCCTTCCCATCTGTAAAGAAGCTTGTATGCTGCTGTGAACAATACCTAGGTATCTTTTTCATATAGTCCTTCCTGGTGCTGTTGCCTGGTCTAGACGTACTTTTTAATTTGTCTTTTAATGTAGACTCTGTTCCTTTGTTTCATTTTATTGCTGCTTTCTGGAGAAGCTCCCTGAGTTGCTTGCTGTTTACCCATACCAGGTTATTTCAAGGCATAAAGGTCTTGCACACCAGGCCTTTTGGATTTGAATCTGGGTTGTGATTCTTCAGAAATTGCAGGACTGTATATGTCCACAGAGTAACATGGCTGTCCCTTGATCAGTTTCTATGTGTTGGCATCAGCATCCTCATGGGAGGCCAAGAATGGAGATCTACCACAGGCAGAGAAGTGCCATTTAGGTTGGGGGCACTCGACCTAAATCAGTGATTACTGTAGCGCTGGTCTGGGCACAATCACCAGGGGTTAATTATAAAAAATGAACAAATCAGAACAACTTATAAAAGAGCTGGGCTGTTTGTTTGCCTACAGTACCTATACTTCTACTTCTGTCGAGAGCTTTCAACCTTCAGACATGGAATGGAAACTCCTCCCTACCCTGCATCCATAGGTATCACCCCTGTTATAACAGATGATGAAACAGAGGCTGTGCAGGCCAAGTCTTTGGCTAAGGTGGTGTTAAAAGTCAGAGAAGTAGGGCTGGAAGGGCCCTCCATAGGCCATCTAGTCCAGCCCCCTGCCTCCGGCAAGATCATCAATACCCAAACCATCCTATGCAATCCATAACCTAAACTCTATATAAGACAACTGTCAATCCTGATACAAGACAGACCTGACACCCTACCCTCCCTGGGGTAAAGCAGTGGAACCACAGCAGCCAGTGCCCTGCTTCTATGAAATGCTATCAATATACACTCAGGAGATCTCAGTTAGAGGGCCATAAGCACTTACTACAGAGGAAGGCAAAAACCCCACAGGCTTGCCCATAGGGTAAAATTTCTGCCTGACCACAAATATGGAGAGCGATCTGACCCCGAGTGGACAGGCAAGCCCCTCTCACCAGGAACCTCTGGCTTTCGGTCCCAGCAGGAGCACTGGCCCACCCTGAAGTCCCCAGCTTTGGCTGCAACCAACACCCGGTGACTCTGAGGAAGGGCGCGTGACCCGAAGCTTTCAAATAACCCTAACGCTAGCCCGCACAGAGCCTAGCCGCGGCGGGACTGGGCCAGGCCTCCTGGCTGCGTATCGCCCACAACGCGCATGCACGGGACAGCGGGGCCCCCTCCCTTCCTACCCCGGAAGTCTTTCTGCGTTTCCTCGCCTCGGATTGGCTGCACTGCTCGGCCAGTAGGCTCTGCCGTTGTTGGTGAGTGGGCGCTGGGGGCCGAAGGCAAGATGAGCAGGGCTAAAGCTGAGCTGTGGAGAAACCGGTTTGCCATTATGTACGCGCTGAGCTCATGGAGTCTGTTGGGCTACGTCTTCTACTACTACCGCATCGGCGACGACGACTCGCTCCAGAGGAAGTCTAACAGTATGGACCGCCCCTCCGTTCTTCCTGTCACGCATGCGCAGCGGAGAGAAGTTTCTTCCCATGTAGCGGGGGGGGGGTGTTCCTTTCCCACTCATACGCAATAGAAAGAAAGAACCCCGCCTTCCGCAGCGCATGCGTAATGGGGGTGGGGTGTTCTGTGCTCATACCTCTCGCGGGCTTTTGGACACACGTGTGCTAGGCGCGGGGTGGGGAATGGGAATGGGGAAGGGCCATAAGGCAGGTGTTCCTCGGTTGTATTTTCCTTTTTAAAAGCTTTTCTGCCTCGTAGCTTTACCATTTGGATAGCAGGCAGAGTCCCTCAGCTGCAGTAAAGGCAAGATCAGGAGTTGGGGCTGGTTGTTGCCTTCTCATCCTCCTAAGCCACCATTGGCCTAGGTCAGGGCTGCTCAACCTCTAGCCCACTGGCCCAGGGCGGCCTGCAGAGCCTTGGTGTATCCTCCATGGGTCAGCAAATTTGCCAGTGAGGAGCAATGGAAGGGCTACGTGGCTGGATCCAGCTTTGCCTGGGCCATGCAGGATTAGGGCCAGGCCCTATTCCTGGCCCAATCCTCCCCATCTCTAGCATGTGTCCAGATTGGGGTCGCTGTGCCCTGTCCCTGTCCCACACAGACAGATGGGTTGCACACTCCCTGCAGCCAGCTCGGGTCTCACTGACTGCTTCCAGTCTGTGCAAGGACTTGGTGCTACCCATCTGATCTGCAGGGTGAAAAGGTTGGGCACCACTGGTCTAGGTCTTTATAAACAGCCACCTCAGTAGCTAGCCCAAGCTAGACTCAACGGAGAATGGTAACTCTGACAAGGCAATAAGGAGAATTGTGTATACTGCTAGTTTAGGGCTTTGGAGGTGAAAGTGCTGGGGACAAGAGAGTGGCCTTGTGAAAATGAATGCTGCTTTACTTCCTTGACTAGGGAAACCTGTACGCAAATTTGCTCAGGTCCCTGGGTTATGCTGCAGTGTAAATGTGTTACTATTCATCCATTTCCCAATGTTGGGATGTATGAGGGTTTTAGAAATGAGTAGCAATTTTGAAATAAAACTGTTTTGTGTGCAATGATCATTAACTAGTCCAAGTCTTCATTGTTTCTTTACATAGTTATAAAAGCTGGGTGTGTTTGACAGTAGCCACCATTAGTATTCCTCAATGCGCACAAAATGGGTTTTATTTTAAACATACCATTACATTTCTGAAACACCCTTGTAGATAACCACAAAAACTGAATAGAAACGTAGCTACTTGGATATTCTGATAATATGAGCAATGATGTAATGGAAAATGTATGGGTGGAACTTTCTCACTATAAAGGATTGACTTGGTTTTTTGGGGGGGGGCGCTGTTTTTGTTTTTTTAACTCCACCAGGTCCGGACACCAAGCAAGAAGTACATCATTATAAAAACTGGCTGGGCTTTCACGTAATAAGAACAGTGGACTATAAACAAGGACCTGAACGTTTTCCGTATTTGAAAGCATCCTTTAACGTTACTGATGACTCTGACCCAGAGAAGTAATGGATTCTAGCTGAAGAACAGATTTTGCCCCCATTTGCTGTTAAAGTCAAGAGCTTCACATCTCAAATAACAATGGATAATTTAAATATGGCAAATCTCTTCAACTCTATTTAAACCATTGTCTGAGAATGTCTCTGTAAATATTAATGTGATTACATAGGAAGTTTCTAAACTAGTTTTTATTTTAATGAATTTACATGTCACATTGCATCTAGTAGAGAAACCTTTTCACTATTATGATTAGGCCTGGGTGTAGCAGGAGTAGCAGTTTGGAGGTAGTTGCCTTACAGAATTATAGCACCTGATATGGAAATTGGAGAATGGGGAAAAAAAGTAGTACGAATGCCATAATTAGGCAAATATTCTTGATTGCTTTTTTTTCAGGAAACAAGCCATTAACCTATCTTAAATACTGTAGGGGTATAAACCAGAAAATATTAAAAACATGAGGTCTCGAGATGTTTTGTGCTTACCCAGCTAGTCCTATAATTCAAAGCCTAAACTCATGTTAGCTCTGATGCTGACCCAGAATTACTGCTTTTTATTGCAAATAGGTATTGCTTAAAATAAAATAGTACTTTTTAGTAAAATAGTACTTTTCCTGAAAAAGCCATGACTTGATCTGTATTTCACATGTGGCACAAAACAAACAAAAAAAGAATAGCAACATGTTTAGGGAAAGAAAGGCCTTCAAAAGGCGTTACAAAGACTAGCAAGTAGTTGAAGATTTCCATAGCACATAAGGCTTATTCACAATCGCCATCAGCTGCTTTCATGTAACTGCAGGTAAGAGAACTCCACGAATGTATTATATTTCAGAGTAAACAAAAACAGTGCATTTACTCCTTGTAAAAAGGTGAATGATCAAGAGTAAATGAAGACTTGAGAGGGAAAACTTATTAAAAAAACATAGCCTATATGTAATAAAAAGCATTTCTGGAGCTCAGCTTTTCAAATGGAGGTTTGTATTTCAAGAAACGAGTAAACCTTGGTACGGAATAACCACATAGAGGACACAGGTCATTCTATTTGGTTTGCTAATGAAATGGCTCATCTCTTTTCACAGAACTGACCAGATCGAGCAAGTCAAGGCTTTATTCACCTTTCTGCTGTTTTAGGATGGACAGAATCAACTTGAAATCCAGTCATTTAGAGGGGGAAAAAAATGACAAGTGGATTCAGACACAACATTTGACCCTAGATTCCACTGCCAGATTTTGTGCTTTGATACTTTTTCCTCTCCACATTTTTGTAACTCTTTAGTACATAATTGCTATCAAAAGCAAATAAGGAAATTGGCGACATACAAAGTGCTGTCAAAAACACACGCCTAAAAATATTTTTCAGATAGATGTGATTAAATGTGATGTGTTGGCAAAACTTTATGAAGGATTTCCCTCAAACTTTTTATCCCTCTGCGAATGTTAGATGTGAATGATCTGTGGAAAAGTTACTTCCTGCCTTCTGAAGACACACAATCCATTAGTTCCATGCTGTTTGTCAGGCCTTGCCCCTCTACTCTAAGAACATCTTCTTGCTAGTCTGATACATTTCACTTTCCAGGATTTTGTACTCCCACCATCTCATTCTCTACTTAGAGTTGGTTTCTTGCTTTTTCAGTACTTAGAAACCTATCTTTCAAGTGACCCATCTGCCACCAGGGTCTGTGCCTGGGCAAAAAAATAGGTAAGTCTTTTCTCATGGTAGTCTGAGGTCAGCTGAAGAATGAGCCTTTGTTTTTAGGGTAGGCAGATCTCTCATGGGGGATGAAAAATCAGGTTTAATCGAGGCTGATGTGGGTTGTTAGAATAGGTAGGTAAGCCTACAGCCCAAAGGAAAGTGACAGCAAAATTACTATTTTCAGAACTCTATGGCAAAAATGGCCAACTCTGCAGTACTGGTTGAAGAATTATGTTTTGTGGACTATTCAGGGGTAGTAGTATAGTGTTATACATAAAGCCCAGTTTAATACTGGAGCCAGTGTTAATGAAAAAGAGAAATCACAAAGATAAAGGTGGGGTTTCACCTGTTGGTTTGTACTTCATATACACTAACCAGTACTGGGGCACTACCAATCTTTCTGCCAATTGTCCAAGTGTGGCCTACCGCTCTTAGGCCTGAGACTCTTAAGATTTTCTTTATGCTCATGAAACAAGTTCTCCTGCCAGTTTTTAGATATGAACATCTTGGTTTCACTTTAAAGAATGATCGTACTTTGTAGCTTGAGCCAAGTGTTTTGTTTCTGTTTAGTACACATCCTATATGATACAAACTGAAGGCAAAATTATGTTTACTTCCTAAGCACAGATAACAAGATGAACTGTGTCACAAGTTGCATGCTAAAGAAAAGGCAGTTAAAAGTACTGATTTTACCTGTGTATTTTCTTATTTTCAAATGTTATTTCCCTTGTTCATGTATTCCCTCAGAGACTTTCTTGAATCTAGTCAGATTTTAAAGTATCTGTTACCTGAATGATGTTTCCCAATGAGGTCTGCCTATTATAAACCAGTCTCACAAATAGGGGCAATAATTATCCTCTTTTTTTTTTTTAAATAATGCCACTTGCAAATTAGGCTCCAAGTCACAGGTCAGCTGACCAACTTCCAGGCAAATTCAGAGACAGAAATCACAGTGCTCTATGCTTTGCCAGATCAGATGGTAAACAGTGTAGTACTCATTGTTAAGAAAAAAGAAAAGAAGTCCTGTGCACTAACAAAAGAAACCAAATAGGAAAACTTCCCCCTAAATTTCTGAGTTAGTCTGAATAGATCTGCCACTGTGAGACAAGCAGCCCCAGAACCTCAGGCAGCCTGACTGGCAAGGATACCCAGCTCTGGGGGACTGGAGGAAAAGCAGTCCCAAGGAAGATATTGCATTTGGATCTGCTGCTTCCTTGTGAACTAGGACTTATGGGAAGAGAGGTGTTGCCAAACCAAAACACTCATTAATGTATATGCTCCTCTCCATACAGCCATGCTCTATATAGCTGTGGTTTACCTACCTGTGCATTAATCATGTAGGCTCAGGAGGATGGTTAGCAACCAGTCTCCCCATGCTGGCAAGAGCTAGGGGAGCACCTGCTTTGACAGTGGGCACCAGGGGAGTGGCATCAAAGAAGAGGCTCACTAAAGACAGGCTGCAGGAGGCGGCCCTGCCAGAGCTGGGGATGAGTGTGCGCAGCACCAGGGCTTGGACCCCACCAAGGAGAAGAAACTGTTGGAACTATCCCTAGTGGGTCCAGCCCCGTGTGCTCACATGGCAGAGGGGTTAGGTCTCACCACCCCTCCTGGGGGCAGCCGGAGCGGCGCAGCTCCAGTCTCTGCAGAGGGACTGATCCCCCTATAGGGGCAGCCCGGTCTCTGCAGGGCAGCTGA